AGACACAGGATAAAGTAGACACAACGCACTTCCCTGCCCACCCAGAACTCACATTCCAGTGAGGGGGAAGAGGCCATAAAATAACTAAGGGCCAGCAGAGTATGGGGTGTGCGGTGCCACACAGAAGAAAAAGGGAGTGGAGCCAGGGGGCTTCCAGCTCTAGGCACAGCAGCCAGGAGGGAGAGTCTGTCACTTCGACCCATTTTTTCAGATGAGGAAACTGAGGCTCAGGTCCCAAGACACCTTGCCCCAGAGCCCCCCAGCCAGGCTGAGCTGGGTTCTCAGCCCAGCAGCCTGGCGCCAGAGGGCTTTGTGGTGGGAGGGGGGCAGGACTTGGAGTAGAATCCAGGTGGAATGTGGAACGGGGATGGGTTTTCTCCCCTTCCAGGGGCTGTCTCTTTAAGCGTGAAGCTGTCTCCTCCTCCTCCTCCCTTCTCGGAAAAGGCCAGGTTGTCTCAGTGGGAGGGGGTTGCTGGTCCCTCCTCCAGGGACTGAGCCTTGGGGATGTGCCAGCTGCGGGAGGCAGCCTGGTGGAGGCCACCCTCAGTCTCCCTGGCAGGCTGCCCAGCAGGGGCTCTTTAAGGCTGGCCCAGGGCCGGCAGCGTGACCCGCCCTCGCCACCCGAGTGTGCAAGTTCATTCATCCCGGGCCCCTGCTGACTCACGCTTATGAAAGTGATTTTCCTGGCCCCGCCCCCTGCCTGAGCCACCTCCTCCCTCTCCGTGAAATACCCTCACTTCCCTGGCCTCTCACAGTCTCTGGGATCCCCACGGGTTGGGCGACGGGCTTCCCGCTCCCAGAGGACACCGTGGTCCCTGGCCCTCCTAGTGTCCAGGCAGACCGGCCTCCACAGGCTCCCCCCACCCACTGCCTGTCAGGTGAGTGTCCAGGGCGCCAAGATCGCGTTGTCCTGGGCGGGCGGGGTGGCCAGCCGGACCCCAGGGTGTGCAAGGCTCCGGAGCCAGACAGGGGTCCCCATGGCCCTGCGTGGAGGCCTCCTCTGCTTTTCGGGTCCCTGCAGGATTCTCCCCCACCCAGTTTGCTTCCTGGCCATATCCCTGTCCAGGTGCCTGGCACCCTGGGCCCAGCAATCTCTGTCACAGCCCCAGCATACCCTGGCCCCTGTGACCACATTCCAGGCAGGAAAGAGGGGTGTGGCCAGCTTAGGCTTGCTGCCTGACGAGTCCGAGGCCACCAGTCGGCAGTCAGGCCGGGGTTCGGGGTTTTGTCATGGGGGTTCAAGGGCGCTGGGAAGGGACAGCCCCTGAGAGGCTGGGGAGCTCCAGGTGGGCGGAACGGGTGAGGGCTCATCTGGTGACTAGTGGCAAGCAGTGCTGGGTGGGCAGAGCCCCTCTAACTTGCCCCCTCAGGGCTTGGTGAACCTGTCATCAGCCGTTTTGCTTGACGGGGACTCTTCCTGGTCAGAGAGGCAACAAGGGGTAGAGCCCGGGGTGTGTGCAGCTGGGCGTGGTCTCGGACATTCCTGGTGACCCAGGGCAGGATGCCACCGCCTCCTGACCTCAGTTTCTTCCTCTGCACAGTGGGGATAAGAAAACTCACTCTCAGGGTGTCAGCCAAGTCAGACGAGCAAAGGGCCACCAGAGGTGCCCAGGACATGCAGTCACATAGGAGTCCCAGAGTTTAGCGTCGTCTCTGACTTAATGATCCCCGAAGGACCAAGGCTACACGCTTAAAAGAAACATCTGTTAAGGGGCAACTATTTTAATTTTTATTTCTTTTCTGCTTATTTGCTTTTGTAAACTTTGAAACATCAATTTTTAATGTTTAATTTTTTTCTGTCAACATCTGCCAGCTTCAGTCAGAGGGACTTAAAAATGATAACATGAAAAATGGATGATTCTGACTCCACAGAACTAAAAACCGGAAAGGGAATTGGTATGAGGAACTTTTGGATTCCTTTTTGAAAGTTGGCAGCGGGCTGTCTGGGTCAGGAGTGAGGGCGTCCAGCTGCTTGGGACTTTGGGGTGCCCTGTGTCACTCTGCACAGGAAGTGACCTCTCAGGTCCAGCCCAGGGCGATGACCTCATGCACGAGACATCCAGAAACCCCTGTTCAAGTGCCCCAGGAAAGACGGGAGGGAGGGAGCACTGGACTTGGAGTCCAAAAGTCTTGGAGGTAAATCGGTGCCCTTGGCTTTCTGGGAAGGGTGACAAGGGGCACTCGGTTTCAATTGCTCACTGGTCTCCAGGGGTTCCTGCAAGTGCCTTCCTCACTGGGTGGGGGAGAACTCAGAACAAGAGAGGGGCGGGGAATGGCCCAGGTGGACACACTCGGTTCAGGAACCAGGCTGGGGAGACATCTAGGTGGGTTCACCCAGGGGGAGCACATTTCAGTTCCATCCCTCACCCGCTTTGAAGCCTCAGAGACACGGATTCACCCCCAGCCTCATCTGTGAAGTAGGTTGGTGCGAGAAGCTGTGCAGACGGTTGACCAGAAGGTCACCTCTGCGCCGGGGGGCAGTGAGGGTGAGGATGAGGGGCCGGGCCATTTAGGGTTTCCAGGAGTGTGTGGGAGCAAGGGTTCTGGGCCCACAGTCCTAGTCTTCAGGGCCCCTGGGCACACCGGCCGGGTAGTCAGCAACTGGAAGCACAAGTTTCCCCACAGCCCTCTACGCCCACCCCGTACCAGAACAGAGCCTCGGGGGATGCTTGGATGGGCACTGCACACTCAGTCTGCAGAGGGGCCTTGCAGGAGCCACTCCGCCACTTGGGGCGCAGAAAGGGCCCCAGAGCTGGACAAACACTTGCAAACTGTAAAGGGCGGTGAGACTGTCCCTGGCCCTCAGTTTCCCCATCTGCGATATGGGAGTGACTGTAAGAGTTGTACGAGTTCTCAGTGAACAACCCAACACAGAAGGGTTCAATAGCTAATGTATATAACACAGTTGGTCAGCACACTCTTTAGATGGATGGAAATATCAGCCATGTGCGGTGTTTGTTTTCATGACTGTTGTTATTCTTGGTGGCCGTGTCACCCCGAGGCAGGCAGCCTGGGCCCTGCAGGGAGCTGGGCGAGAGGGCCACGTGGTCCCTGGTGTCAGTGGAGCTGCCTCTCCTTTCCCCAGGGAGTGAGGCGAGGTCTCAAGTGCTGGGGATGCAGGCTTACCTAGACAGGACAGAGAGACTGTCCCGGGCCCCTGCCCTGGCCAAGGCTGGCAGAGTAGCTCTCAGAGGAGCTGAGGGAGCAGGCGGGGGGAGTCCCCAACAGGCCACCTTCTTGCTGTGCGACATTGGACACGTTCCCCACCCTCAAAGCCTCCCACTTCAGCTGCAGATGGAGGGGACACGGATTGCCTCTCCAGGTTGCTGTCGCTCAGCTGCAAGCTCCTTGCAAACTTTACAGCATGTTGAGAGGGACAGTTGTCACCGTGGAGGCAACACCTAGATCCTCTCACCAGCCTATTCGTGTGGCTATCCCTCGCCCGTCTGCTTGGAACCTGCCTGGCAGTGGGCACTGGTGTTCCTGTCGCCCTGCACACATCAGGTCACACACTGGCCTGTGCTGTGTTCTGCCTGCCGGTTAAAGATTCTCTAAAAATGAGCCAAGTGCAGTGGTTCAGACCAGTCATCACAGAACTTTGGGAGGCGGAGGTGAGAGGATTGCTTGAATACAGGGGCTCAAGACCAGTCTGGGCAACTTGGTGAGACTTCGTCTCTACAATAAATCTAAATATTAGTCAGGCGTGGTAGCGTGTGCCTATAGTTCCAGCTACTTGGAAGGCTGAGACAGAAGGATCACCTGAGCCCAGCAGTCGAGGCTGCAGTGGCCATGAGCGTACCACTGCACTCTAGTCTAGGC